GAGATGCAATGAGCTGCTCCTTCTACATTCAGTTGTCGCTTTCAGCAGTGCAGAATACAATCCTTTCTTGCTAATTTCTGATTTTCATCTAGCAGTTCTATGGGAGTAAGATAATTTCAAGGGAAATACATAGGGGCAAGAAGTTTATTCTCCTCTGCTAGTTCTGTATGTAGATCTACTATACCATGCTGAATGGGGTACCACTACAGTTGGTTACATCAATATGAAAAGCAAACAGAAAGGTGAAAAATGCAGATGTTACAGGCAGAGTGTAATTAAGTTCACTGAGATCTTAAAAACTTGAGGATTTGAAAAGACTCTTCTGGAGTTCAAGCATTATTACTTTTGCTAGCATCTTGTTTAACTTCTTGTTAATGTTGGTTCTAAGATCTTAACCTTCTTGGGACTGTTCCAGTTCCCAATTATTCTCATTAAAATACAGTCTTTGCATTTAATTTTAACTCATGTAACCTTAGCCGAAGGCTATCAAAATTCTGGACCTATTCTAGGAACTCACACATAATTTTCTTGAAGTCCTAGAAGCAATCAGGCATGAAATCCTTTCCAAGAAGAAAACTGATTTGGGGCTAAAATTGTGCTTGTTACATAGCCAAATCTTAGCCACCCTTTCTTCTTTTGGCAGGGCATATAAAATCTTTCTATCATATTCAGGTAATTAAAATACTGGCTAAATAAACCAGTGTGGACATAGTGGCTGGCAATGTAATTATGACCTCACTGAAGTAATTCCTTATTCTGGATTTTTATCTGTGATCAAAAAAAAAGAGAACACCATCCCACAGATTAGCTGAGAGAATGATGAGAACTTCAATGGAGTTATATTGTTAAGTTAGTAACAGGAGATTCAGGTAGCTAGTCATACTTAATCTTTAACTTTTGTCAGCTGGCCCAAGAATCTCATAACAAGGAATTTTTATTTCCATGGACGTAATTTTAAAAGGCCACAAAAGAAAGTTCTTATGAAAACCTATTACACAATTATTGCATGCACTTGTCCATGTTGACATAGCCTGTAACAATCAAGTGGGATATAAAATGCATTTTGCAGTGTTTCAATTTTAGTATATTGTTAACTAAGTAAACTTATATAGTGCTTACTTTTAATTTGAATTATGCTTCTTGACCTGACTTTTCCAAAAGTATCTGCTGATCTGTTTTCAAAGTAAACACAGAAGCCAGAGCTCTAATATACTTCTATTTGAATCTTGACTAGTATAGCTACCTTAAGTGTGCAGAGCTTGTAGGTACTATCCAGGCTAAGAAGCCAAAACATATTTAGCATAGTTTTATGACACAAGGTGTCCAGGAGCCATGGCTGGCAATATAGAAAACAAGGAAATCTTTCAGGAACTGATTCTCCTGCCTAAAAGTATCAGGTAAAGCAGTACCAAGTGAATGGGGAAACAGCCCCCTGCCCCTACACTCTCCCGTTCTTGTCTCTTTTCTCTCATCTTACTTATTTAAATGCTTACTTTATGAATAGATTACCCAGTCAAGTACTGTGCTGTATCCCCAGCAAGAAAGTAGAGTATGAACCTGGGCAAAAATGGAAGCTCTTACTTAGTTGTGTTAAACCGATATCTGATATCATACTGATTAAGTTTGCTTAGGCTTAATTAGAAAAGAGTTTCTAATATACAGCCAGAGTGTCAGATGCTTAAATAACCAGGAAACAACTAATATCTTGACAAGGAGCTTGAAACAAAACCTCATGTCCTCAGAATCTTAACTTCAGCATGAAACCCCAAACAAAAAGTATATGGTCAACACGGACTCCATCACTGCAGTTTTCTGTTTGCTCTTATTATTGTTACTGTTATTGCTGTTACCACAGTGACTAGAAGCCACCTCAGGGAGCTTCTGCAGAAGAGTCTTGTTTCCATGAGTTGCTCCCAGAAAGGCTGTTTCCAAAGGCCCAGTCTGATCAAAATGTTGTACGCAGTCACACATACCCATAGTCACCCTCTGGAAAAAAAAAAAAAAAAAAAGTAATAATAGTACTACAGTGAAAGCTGAATTCATTGTAAAAGATAATAGAATTCTAAACTTGATAGGAGAACTGCTTTGGCCTTTGCCCTGAATCCCTTCTGAGGTACATGTTTATAATTCATTGTTTCTGATTTTTTAAGTATAGTGTTATTCCCTGAAGTATAAATCAAGAATTGTCCTTCCATTATTATCTGATTAACATTAAAAATGATACAAAGCCAGACAGAGCAAATAAAATTCAGAGATA